ACAGCATCTTCAGTCCAGGTGAGGGACATGGGATCAGATTCCTGGGGTCCTATGTTGACTTTCCATTACGGAGGCATACTTTTTGTTTGCTAAACTGTGAGCATCTGTGATAAGAGCCTATGATTTTAGCACTTGTGTCATACATAATAAACACCACACAGACAATGTTACCTCGAGGACATGTTTTTGAGTTTGCTGTTTTCTCAAAGCAACAGGCGTGTGCCTTTTTTTAATCCAAACAGTTCACTTCTGTCTTCTTCTTCTTCTTTTCTTATCATCTGTATTGCAGTATTATACAGTATCTGATCTGCCAAGAAGGAAACATCGACATGGCTGTATCTCCTGTAGATGTAGACCAAGTGCAATAACTTAGTTTGCAGTTTATTGATTGTTTGCATTCACACTTGCAGTTTGGTCTGAATTTGAGCTACACCATTTTTTGGCAGGGTAAATAAGAACTAAAACAGTGAATCAACGCCAAATTGGGTATGAGAAGACTTAGAAACTGTTTTTAAACCTTGTGGTTTTTTATCCAAAAATCACTGATAAAGTGTCTCCCCACTGAGCGAGTTCAATTAGTTGAAGCTCCATGTAAAGATGCCCTCCGGCAGTCTATTGGTTGGCATTTAGGTTTTAATTTTTTTCTCTGATCTTAAAGGCTCTGCATACCGCATTCAGAGCATGAATATAGCATTAATCAAAAATGTGAAAGGTCAATATGTAGTCAAGTAAAACTGTATCTCTGTAAGATCTGCCTCTTCGTGATGTAATACGGGCTTCTTCTCTGTGAGTTGTTTACGTAGCGGTAGAGTTGTTTTCTGTGAAGACAAATGTTTAAAAAAAACAAAAAGGCTATGCGTGTAACAAGTGAAAGTTGACAAGTGTTCCGGATATTTGTAGGAACGTCACCAAAAAGGAGAAATAACTTTATAAGATATCATACAGACAGTTGTACGAGTGTATGTTGAATATTTTATGTGCTTTACTGATGATTTCAACACAACTGTTTTGTTAGCTGATCAAATGTTATGACTCATTATTCTAACAGCTGTGTAGCACCATTTAAAGAAACCTGGTTTTTATATGGTTTGATCTGCCTTTTGGAATTTCTTTTTCAGAACTCTCTCCATCATGAGACCTGAACCTAAGCTTGCCAACATCGCTAAGAGTGACAACATGACCCAATAAATATGACACATCTTAATCTACTTTGATTTTACCCTTTCACAGTGTGGCATCCCTGGAGATAAATATACACACACCCTTGAATGTATCCGCTTTTTACTAAAGGCAGTTCTGCTCTGTCACCATCAGCTTATTTAACATCGCTGCAAATGAGAGAGAAAAATACTGAGGGAGGAAGAGAGGGTGAAGAAAGGAATTAGGAACAGGGTTGAGCTCAAAGCTTCTTCGGGCCCTGAGGCAACACGTCTCTCCTAAAACATCTCCCATGCATAAATTAATCATCGAATGAGCAGTAAGCCTCTCTCTGACTGATTTGGGAGTTGGATTCTGTTTGACCAGGTTATTTACTTTGGACGTTAACTGTCAAGAAATGTGGAAATACTTCAGTAATTAGCATGCAACAGAGTCTCCAATCCCAACTGTGAGAACATTGAATTACTCTGAGTAAAAGCAAGGTTTGCTAAACAACACCTTTTATTTACAAGGTGATTGTTATCCACAGCGACAGACAGTGTTGCTGATAGCAGCTCAGTGCCGTTCTCAAGGACGCACAGATGTTTAATGGATCTGTGGTTCATAACAAAAGGTTTGGGCTCTCTAATCTTGGGCTGCATATTTGATCGCTTCACGATCCTTTGCCTGAACCTAATCCAGGAAATGAAAAAAGTGTACCATCTTTCTTATGACAACACCTGTTATTTTCTCCGTTTAGAGTATTTCATCATGTGCTCCCTGGTGGCTGTCTGTCTTGAAACTGTTTGTCTCTGTGTGTCCATGACTCACTTCGCATCACACACCATTAGCCCCTTCACACAGAGTATTGCTGGCATCATCAAGCCTGTTGGCTGCAACCTTAGATAGACAAACATGCAAACACACTCACATACTGTACAGGCGCACACACATACACACACACAGACTCATAAACACATCAACACAGCACAAAGCAATTTGGTCCTTTTGTTATTCTCAGACAGCTTTTTTACAAAGATACAATCTGAACCAACAAATGACCACCTTACATGTTTGTAAAATTGTAATGACACATTCCCTACATCCAACTTCTATTGAATGAGCAATTTTTGTGAGCTCTATGACACAGAGCTTCATTGTTGTCGAGAAACTATTCAAATAACATCGATGAGGGACAATTTTACACGAGGTGACATTATGCTGAATGTGGACACTGTAATATATTTCAAATTAATCCCACAAACCCCGCTAATGAAAGTATTCTCCAGCACAAATGGAAAATCTACAGCTCAAAATAGACCTAACAGATGCATTATATGGCACAATAAACTGAGTAACTATTAAAAGATAGGCCAAGTGGACAAAAGCACAGCTAAAAATGACAGTAAATGTGTCTAAATGTCCATTTAATTTATAAAAAGGCAATCGTTTGCTGATACACTTTCACAATAACAACTCAAGGAGGTTATAATATGGCAGTGTTGTGTTTATAGCTTGTTGTTCAGGCCTCAAGTGTCCAACAATAATCAATGATTGCTGGTCCAAGTCAAATTAGACTACTCTTCACAAAGATAGAAGAGCAAGGACACATGACCTGTTTCTACTTGCACACACAAACACACACTCGAAACCCTTGGCATCTCCTCCACTAACGCAGCACTTGGCCAGTAAACAGCACTTTAAATGATATCATGATGTTTCCACTGGAGATGAAACAGCTTCAGTCACCTTCCTGTCCTGGCTAACCTTTAGCCTGATCTCAGTGCAGCTTAGCAGGGCGAGAGTTGTTCTTGGCAGCAGCTGACCATGTGACGACGTTTCCATTACAGCGCAGGCAGCGTGGTATATGTCCCACCCTCTGTGTTTGTAATAGAAGCAGCATTGATTGGCGAGTGAACTGTGAGCTTTGTGTGTGTATGTTTCTGTGTAAGTGTGTGAATGGCAGGTCTGCCCTGTGATTTGAAGCGTTTTGAAACCTCTCTGCTAAAGTGCCAGGGTCATCCTTTGATGGATGGCCTTCTGGTGGCGAGAGCGCGATTTGTTCACTCTGTGTGTGTGTCAGAGCTGAATGAAAAATTGTTTCAGCATCAACAAAACATCAGATTCTTTGTTGCTGTCAAATTTATTCATACAACACTATTTTTGCATTTTTACCCATCGTCTAATTTATTATTTGAAAGTGCGCTAGACTCTATTTTCTAATATGATGATCACATTATATCATCGTGTGAAAAATCTTACCATTCCAGTTGTTTGCTAATGCTGCGGCTGTAGTGTGTGTGTGTGTGTGCGTTTTATGTGTGTATGCACTGATGGCCTGAGAGCCTGTTCTGAAGGAGCAACAGAAAACTGTTCCTCTCTAAATTCAATTACCACAGCAAGCCGAGATGCAGGGGGCAACAAGAGGCTAGGGGACGGCACGGTCTGCTTCACGCACGTTTTCTGACACAGGGTTGGACAAAGAGGCCTATCAATTTTGAAATGTGCTCACAAGCTTGATTTCACCTTTCCACGCAAGCCGCCGTCCGTAAAATGATACCCAATCCTTCATGTGTCAGAACTCCTCTGTGCCAAGATTCAATTTGCAGGAGATTGCCTGAGATTTCTTTCTAAGTTGCTAACATGAAATCTATGATGGTGGCAGGTTATTGGTGCAGGATGTGAGCATGTTCTTTACCTTGTGATTTCTAGAGATGCGATTATTGTGTTTGACTACATTTAGACTTAGAAATGTCCTCTGACTCATGCTTTTATCGGAGTATCAGTCCAATTACATTTTTGCAATGTCCCCCATCATTTATAGCTGTGAGCAGTGCCACTTAGACTGTCTTCCTCTATTTTCCGGACTTTCACTCCGACTCATCATTTCTGATGTGACAGTGCTGGAAAAATTGTGATGTGCAGGAATAATGATATTTGAGTGCCGGCTTCTGGTGTGTAATTGAAACACTGGGGCACATTCACATCACACCCTCCACCCTTCTAGTGCCAGCTGTTCAGGAGCATGGTTCCCTTTTCTGTCTCTCATGCTGCTGGCAGGTGGCGAGCAGACAAATGATCTCTGTTGTTTGTTACTGGTTTACTCCAACAAACCTGCAGAAAAACAAACCTGTGAATCTCTGTGTCTCTCACTGTCTGCTATGTGCCACTACATAAAAACAACAGTATGCTTGCTTTGCTGTGACTGAAAGCGTTGTGAATAATATATACAGTCTATGGTTGTCATATAACATTGTTTGAAATAGATGTAAAGTGTCTTGTATATTGGATTGCATTTCCCGGATAAATAAAATGCTTATTTGCATTTCAAATCATAAACTTTGTCCTTACCCGTCTGCCGCTTTCCTTCTTGTTTCTGATCAGTACTACACATACACACGCAGCTCTAAGAGATGGAAACATGGACCGATGGCCTTAACTACCTTCATCATCAGATCCATACAATGTGTTTTCAAGCCAGTGAAGTGCTGTATTTTCCAGCCCATGTGTCATAAGGATTGCCTTCGTTGAGCCCATGCTAAGGAGGCAATTAAGGCCTTGTTCAAACTGTATAACACATATATAATTATAAAACAATAAAGTAAAAATAAATGCCTATTATGTTCCACTTTCCTCTGTTAAATGATCACTGACAATGTATGCATCATAAGTTTTGGTTGGTAACAAAGCTAGCTTCTATGTTGACATTCTGGAGAGTGGGAGGTTGGGTCCCAATATAGTCTGCAGTATCTGGTTTGGAGAATATTTGCTGAACTAATTGTTTATTGTGTGTGTGTGTGTGTGTGTGTGTGTGTGTGTGTGTGTGTGTGTGTGTGTGTGTGTGTGTGTGTGTCTGTTGTCAGGGTGCGTCTAGAGGCCTTCTCAGACAACAGTGGGAAGCTGCAGCTCTCTCTGCAGGAGATCATAGAATGGCTGACAGCCAAGGACGAGGAGCTGTCGGCGCAGCTGCCCATAGGAGGCGACGTGGGGGCCGTCCAGCACCAGAGAGAGTTCAACCAGGTAATAACGCGCTGCATGATACCTTTCTAGTCCAAACAATACACATCCAGGACAAATACTGATGGGAAGTCTTTATTTGACCTGAACAAAAGTACACATGTTCTCAGATAAATTGAGACTGTAGCTGAGATGCATACAGAATAAAAACAGACAGTGTTGTTTGTGGCGACTAAGGCAAGACTTCTGCCACAGTACTGGGTGCCCTCTAAAGTCCTATATACTATATATGTGAACAATATTTTGAGGGCGTGCCAAGGGTCATGTGCTGTGATCCGTGGAACAAGATGTCCCTGTCGTTGAGCTTTGAGAAGCCAGAAAAATGAAGGCAAATGATTTTGGATGCAGTTTTTGAAGTGGGTGAATTTGTTGTTGCTGGAGTCTATTGGCACTGTAAAGATGAGTAGCAGTGAGGTATGGTGGGATCAATGCTTTATCAAAGGTATTTGCAGACAACTTTGCCGGCCTCTTTTCTACAGTATGTAATACATCTATTGATCACAGCTCAGTCAATTTTCCAGACTCAAAAGACTACACCTTCAGGCCTTAGCTTGCACGGCAACTATGCTCCATTTACTGTACAAAAAACAAGAAACCAAAGCAAATGCATAAATTTATGAAGCTTTAACCAAACCATTTAATGTTATGTGTTTATCCCTGAAATTTGACTTGAAACCATTTTTGATTCAGAATTGTTTTGATCTATTTTTCAACTAATGTCAGTTTCTATTGTGCATGACATTCAACTGACATTCAACGTTTGTGTGTTTTTAATTTATTTACAAGTCGAGGTTGGCTCTGTCTAATGATTAGTTGTAGCAGTATAAAAAACAACGCATACAGAAACACAATTTGCACAAAAAACGTTAAAATAATCTTAATTTGACTCTTTGTTAAAGTAACAAAAGTGTTTATCAACCCTGAGCCACATGCGGATTAGCTGTTCCACCTTTTGTCTCTATGCAATAGTGATCAGTCAATAGGATGTTTGTGCTGCACGAAGGATCCAAACAAGCATTTGTTTCATATATGTAATTTCTCAATACCCAATGGTAAACTGATGGGGTTGGCAGCCTCTTTCACATTTTATACTTTAATATTAAAGTTCAAGGCTTAAGCAAACATCAGTAATACCTCCTCCTCCTGTCAGATAACTTCTCCATGGCTCAGTGATTTCAACTGGCTTGTAAAAGCCTCCAAGGGCTTGTGTGGATAGAAAAGCTCACAAGCCTGGAGATTGAGACCTCATTGATCACAGCACAAATGTGCTTGTTTATCTTTTCAATACCTTTTTTCTTTCTCATATTGAAGCCAACACTTTTCCTCAAACCCAGGGTCATTATTTGACTTACAAGTGCAACTGAAAAGTTTTCTAATCGTTTTCCCTTTGAGGAACACAGACCAGATATCAACACAGACCAGATATCAGAAACACTTTTTCTTACCCAGTAAGCCAGCGTTTTGGATTTTCTTAAAGGCTCTGCACCGCCCCACAAGTGTATTCCACTTTTTTTGGCTGATCAAAACTCCTTAAAGGTTAAGTTCGTTTGAGGCCATGATGGGCATCAAACTACAGGTGTAAATTGTCCCATTCGGTGAACAACATCTAACTCAAGCACAGCATAAATGGGTGTTTCCTTTGCTTGTGGTTCATAGACTGTACAACATAAATGGATGTAGTCACCTTGTCATAATCCTTTGGTTGGATGTTAGATGTTTTGCATTGTTTTCCTGTCGCCATCTTGGTGGGGCTGTGGAAGAGTGAAGACCAGTGGTGCCAGGTAACAAAGCATAGAGAAACGCTAAGGTATCAAGCTAGCTTGATATTGATATTACATCAGCTGGGATAACAATTAAAATGCTAATTCTGGCTAGCGAAAAACAGGCTTAAAACAAAAGGTACTTGCCGCTCAAAATGAACAACCAATTATCTTTGTGCAACCAAACATGCTGAACATCGCAGTGCTAGTGACCCCATGCAAGTGATGCAGTGTTAGCAACTTCTTAATCACAAAGAGCAATGCCTTTAAACATGCCATAAAGCTTTATCGTCCATTTCCCTCAACCATAGACTAAAGGAACACCATGTTGTTAATAATATAAGTACGAAACAGGAATACTCTCATAACTTCTATAGGCCTACGTACAATCAGACTTACTGTAAAACCGGTGAAGTGGACTGGCCATTTAACAAAATCCAAGTTGAAGGCACTTTCATGTCCTTAATTTAGAAAACTGACAAGCTTTTTTGAGAGTTTTCCCCAAATTATATTTTAGTGGCTTTTGTTTTACTAGGCAGAAATAAAGAACATGGCCTTCCTGTGTGTTAAAGACACCCACAGGTGGGACCATAACACAAATCCCACAATGTCTTGAAGGCAAGAACGTCTCTAGACTGACATCGTTTTTAATTGACATGTTATATAGCCCTGTGTGCTCTGTGTTGAAGAAGACTCATAAAGTCTGCAACAGACAGAGGTGCCCTGCAGGCAAGTGTGTGTATTTACCTGTCTTAAAGATATACATTACATCATATGTTACATGTTAGACGCTTTTATCCAAAGCGACTTACATACTCAATACTGTGGGCAATCCCCACAGGAGCAATTTGGGGTGAAGTGTCTCAGGGACACAACGACATGCTGACTGCAGTGGGGTTTGAACCTGTGACCCCCTGATCCGAACACCAGAGCACTAACCCACTGCGCCACACACCTCCCAACCCACATACAAATTGTTAGCCTGTTTACATTCTTATTGTTTTAAAAAAACAACATAAATCCACCAACATTTCAAAATCAATAAAACAGCGATTCAATGAATGCATTGAAATGTACTTGAAGGTGTATTTGAATGTAGAACCGTTACAAATAATGCTCTTTGGATTCTCACTCCTGTGTGACAGGGAGTATTTGGGGAAATGCCATCGTGGATGCTCTGGATGTTTCATTTCCTGGTAAATCACCTTAGTTGTGGGAGATGTATCTCTGGAAGTGGAACTGATTCAGACATGCAGAAGCGCGCACACACACACACACACACACACACACACACACACACACACACACACACACACACACACACACACACACACACACACACACACACACACACACACACACACACACACACACACACACACTTGTAATTGGTTCTCTAAGCACAGCAGAGTTTCCTTTCCACCCAATTCTGTGTGCTGTCAGCTTGTGTAGTGTTTCTGAATGGTAACTTGCGTTGACAGTTAGAGGTTTGTGGCTTCCATTTAATCCCACTTCAACTTCCACCATGACTGGTGCACTGTGGAATAAGCCTCCCAATTAAGAGGACAATACAAAAATAACAACAACACTTACAAACAGTCCTGCAGTTGCTTCCACTCCCTCTCCAACTGAACTTGTATTGTCCCTCCTCAGCCCTGTTTGTCACTCCCTGTCACTCCCTGTCTCCTCTTCATGCTTTGAAAACAGCAGTTCTCTCATCCCACAACATCGACGGGGCTACTTAGTGATGCACAGTCCTCAAATATTCAGTCATTTGGATGGACTGATAAAGATGCCTCCTCTCCTCTTCCTCTCTTAAATGGAAGAGCTCGGCTTTATAATCTGGGATGCCTCGATCTTCCCGAGAGTCCGGATGCTTTATAACTTTTCCGACAAAGCAGAGGGGGAAATTGCATCCCAGTTTTCTATAGAGAATTAAAGCGTTTTAAGAAATGTGAATTATTGATCTTGAGTGGATTTATTCTGATGTTTTTGTGTGTGTGTGTGTGTGTGTGTGTGTGTGTGTGTGTGTGTGTGTGTGTGTGTGTGTGTGTGTGTGTGTGTGTGTGTGTGTGTTTTTGTCTGTTTGTGTGTTCATCTGGATGTTAATTGGTTTGGCAGCAAGGATACTGTTTGTGTATATTTGGGGTGCATTTGGGTGAGAAGATATGTTCGTGTATGTGTTTTGTTGTAGGGATAAGTGAGTGATTTGGGCAATGGAGGCATTTTGTGTGTGTGCAGCAGAGGATGAATCCTCCTGCCTCATTCAACAGGAATAATGAAATAGAAATGCCTCGTCCTCTGAGAGGAAGTGTCCAGAGGGAGGAATACAAGTAATGTCATCAACATGTTTAGATGAAATGAAGTCAATGAAGTCATTTCCTCCCCCTGACTTCCTCTACCCCATGCATAATGTATCTTAATCTGATCTGAAGGCTTCACTCTTAATGTTCCTTCAGCCATAGATGAAGCCTCTGAGTGTGAAATTTAGCTGGAATTAAAGTTTTAACATGACAGCTGGCTCAGGGAATCCGTGGCTCAGCTCCTCTTTGGGCGGCAAAGCAGCTAAAGAGGGTATGGAGAGAATAAAGAGAGCTAGAGAGGATGAAAAGAGGTGAAACGGAAAGGAAAGGCGAGGAAGGAAGCGAGGATGTGAGAAAGACGGAGGAATTTGTTTGTTATAAGAGAGAGTGTGAAAAAGGGACAGCAGCTTTTTCTCCATGACTGTTGCTGTGGGAATCTTATCTCATGCCACAGCTCCCAGCCGGTACACACTTCAGCATGTTTGCTCAGGGCCGGCTGGTGTTTGCTTGGTTTATCTGGCCTGCCGGGCTCAGGTCCTCTGGTTTTTCACTGTATTCACTGAAACACTGTCACTGCTGCAGCACAACGCAGCTAATTCCAGCTTGAAATGCAAATGTTCAGCTAGAATGGTTATCTCTTCATAGCAAAAAAAGGATGGCCTCAACTAAATAAATTACTTTGAAGAAAACTAGCATTAATTCACACACCTGCAGTGAGTTTTATACAAACAAATATTAAGTTAGATGAATGGAGAAGGTGAATTTACTCAAGGCACTGGGGAGGCTCTGCTTATCTGCTCAGTGGGGGAGTGAAGGCATTTACAGTATATGTGTGTGTGTGTGTGTGTGTGTGTGTGTGTGTGTGTGTGTGTGTGTGTGTGTGTGTGTGTGTGGGTGTGTGTGTGTGTGTGTGTGTGTGTGTGTATATACAGGACTGTCTCAGAAAATTAGAATATTGTGATAAAGTTCTTTATTTTCTGTAATGCAATTAAAAANGGGGAGCGCGTGAAGGCCACGCCCCATGCCAATCGAGGACAGGTACATTAGCATGGTCCATACCACCAGTTACTGGGTGGTTTTGGCACTGTGGGGCCCAGGGTGCCCAGATCATGCTGGGGAAAAATGAATTCCTCATTCTCCATAGGCTTTTTACAGCAGACGGAAAGATTTGTAGTGCTCTAAAAAATCTCTTGGTACACAGCTGCATTTACTCTGGCTTGGATTTGGAACACAGTTGGACCACACCAGCAAGGCTGACATGGCTCCCCAAACCATCGCTGGACTGTTGGGAATTCCACACTGGATCAGGCAACTTGGATTTTTGCTCCATCTCAGCCTTTCCTCCACGACTTCTGGCGCCTTTGGACTTCCCAAATGAAATTACAAACCTTGCTTCGTCTTGAAAAGGAGGACTTTGGGACCACTGTTGCAAAAACTGTCCAGTGCTTTCTTTTCCTAAGCCCAAGTCAGACGCCTCTTCCGTTGTCTTGGAGTTTTCAGGGAAGTGGCTTGGGACATGGGAATACGGTGGCTATTGTAGCCCATTTCCCGGACACTGGTCTGTTGAAACCAGTGACTTTTGGATACCTGGACTCCCAGGCTTCGCAGTTCCACTGTCTTTGAAGCTCCCCCCAAATTCTGGAGCGACTCTTCTTTCACCCAATTTGCTTGGTTTTAAGGCTGCGTGTCATCTCTCTTGGTTGGTGCAGCGTTTCCTGCCCAACATTTTCCCCCCCTTTCCAACAGACTTTTTGGGATGTGCTTTTGAAACTGCACTCTGTGAAACAGCATTGCTCTTTGAGAAATTTACTTTTTTGGTCGTTACCTTCCTGATGGAAGGGTGTTCAATGACCGGGTCCTTCTGGACAATCCAGGATCAGATCAGACCAGTCTTCCCCCATTACCTTGTGATTTAGTTTACTGAACCCAAGTGGAGTGTTTTTTCAAGGCTCAGGGAACCCTTTGCAGGTGTTTCGAGGGTTAATTAGACGATTTCAAGTGATTCGTTTGGAACACTCTACTAGTATACTTTCATGGATATTCTAATATTTAGAGATAGGATATTTGAGTTTTCTTAAGCTGTTAGCATAATCAGCAATATTAAAATAATAAAAGGCTTGAAAATATTTCGTGATTTGTAATGAATCCAGAATGTTATGACATTTTTGTTTTTTTAATTGCATTACAGAAAATAAAGAACTTTATCACAATATTCTAATTTTCTGAGACAGTCCTGTATGTGTGTCTTCTTGCTTAAGGGGTGCTTCTAAATGTGGACTATAGGGCTCTCCAGTTAATTGGCTCTCATGTCTGTGGCGGCCAGCGGACCAGTACTCCCAGTAGATTTGGTCTCCTATTGTGCCCCAGGCTCTCAGCGCAAACTGACAGCCTCTCATCTCAGGCGGTCCTACCAGTAGATCGTTTCCTATAGGTAATCCAAACTAGCATATTTGCCTCTTGTGTGCTATTTGGTGTTTTCTCTTGTACTGTATGTGAGTGTGTTAGCTTAAAGGGAGCCTTTCTAATGTTGAAATAAAGTAAAGACACATCCATAAATTAAAAGTTAAGTTCATAAATAATAAAAAAAACACTACTCAATTCATCACCCATGTTCTGTTCTGGTACGAGCAGTAGATCGTGGTGGCTTTAGTTGTCTGACTATTTTAATCCTCTCTGCTTGTGCTGCTGTTACACTGTGTTTTGGCATGTACAGTTGTTCTGTAACTTCTCACTTTTTTCAATCCAGTAAAGGATCCTCCAAAGTCTACATTTCTGAAATGAATATTTGAAGAAGGAATGACAATGATCTTGCAAATTCGACCAAGAATAAATCTTCTTTTCCAAAAATGCCTGTCAGTATTCAGTAGTCTACTGTGTGCCGGTCAGTTGCTTAATGGTGCATTCATGCAATCCTCGTTGACTCGTAAATGCTGGAAATATTATTGGTCACTGGTGATACATCATTTGAAGTAGACCAATGAAAACGCCAGTGCTGAATGTGAATAATGGAGGTCAGACATAAACTCTACTGTGTGTTCCTGTTAGCTGCCTGGACATGTTGTGAATCACTGAAAATTACAGATAAATGGAGGCCGGGTCAGGTCTATTTACGCAGGTCATTGGCCATGGCTGTGTGTCTGGTAGACTATTTTACTCTCTATAATGGCATCATGCCAAGACCAAAACATTGGAGTCACATTTCTTCTCATGTCGGCAATAAATATTTTTTTTTGTGTCTAAAGATTGAGGCAGTGCGGGGAACTCAATGTTTCTACCATAAACATGCTACACTATTCACATATAATGGGAATCTAAAGTTTGTGCCGGTGGTAGGACATTTTACTGGTGATAACCATGAAAATGTGTGATTTTACAAATAACATCTGTTGACAAGCAGTAAGCCCCCCAACCAACTATTGTTTTCACTGTCAATTAATCTGTGGATTTTTATTTAGTGAGTCTTACATTTCAGAAATGACCAACCAATTGCCAAACCCCAAGGAAATTCTATTTAAAATGAGAAAACACAGAAAATCCTTGCCTTTGGTTCTGTATTAAGCATCGTAGGAGGAGTGGGTTAAACTTATTTACTGTATAATATAACACAATATTCTCCTTAATGTCTACTTGGCAGAATGTGTGTCACTCCAGGCGGTGGTGACAAGAATGGCTTTTACCCAGCTTATCCTAAAATGGGTTAAGAGGTGGATATTTGCTCAACTGAGGCATGCCTGCAATGTTTCAGAGCAGAGCACCTGTGAGGGAACTTATCACTAGTGATATAAAATGTCACCCCGGGTAGAGTTTTCATGAAAAGTGAAATTAGTTACAGAGGCAGAAAAGTTTATTTTGTTCCAGGCTAAGAAAGTGTTTTTCCTGCTAAAAAGTTGTGAATTTTTTTAAGGTTGCTGCCTGCTACAGCTTAACCTAAAGGACTCACCTTTCACATCTACAACTAGCACAACAGCTTATGTCTTCCATTCGCCTCCACTTTGAAACACTTTACCCTTTGTGTTTGTGTCCCTGTAGGCCTTCATGGAAGATATCAAGTCGCGCGGGCCGTTCATCTACTCAGTCTTGGAGTCTGCCCAGGCCTTTCTGGCTCAGCATCCCTTCCAGGAACCAGAGGAGACCCTGGCCGATGGAAAAGGTCTGCTCCCTTCTTACTCTGTGCCAACTGCTGCGCCAGCCAAAATATCATACTCACAACCTCCCTCTGCTAAGCCCCGGGGTTCATTTGTTAGAAGCCATGCAGGTGAAATCTTACATTAATAGTTATCAGCAGTGATCCGTCCTCTGGCGGCGCACTGAGTTTAGGGAAAGTTTGCAGGTTGGGACAAATTACCTCCAGCTAACAGGCTGTACAGTATCATGTGCTCGGATCGATAACTCAGCAAGCTCTGCTGCTTCTCCACCGACACATCCTCCTCATACTGTTTGCCTCCCAGCAATTGATGCTGATCTGGGAAATACTGCAGCAATCTCCTCACCCCCCCTGTGTGTCTAAGTTGTTTTGCCCTGCTCCTTTCGCTGACTTTTCTTTAATGGAGTTGGTTTACCATCCTTCTCCAATCATTGCCTTTTTCTCTTTATCTGACTTCTAAACCCTGCTCTTCTCTGCCTGCTCTATTTTTTACTTCCTTTCTTGCACTTTTTATTCTCCCCCCCCCCATGTGGCCCTTTCTGTAACCTTTTCAACCCTCTGCAGAGGTGTCTCCGCGCCGGCGAATCCTAAATGTGAGCCGCTCGGTGTGGAAGCAGGCGAACGTGGCCAGTGATCTGTGGGAGAAGCTGACGGCTCGCTGTGTGGACCGCCATAGGTCAGACCGTAGAATAAGTACTTTAATAACTTTCCATTCAGCCCCTAACACTCTACTTTTACTCAATTAGTGTTGAATGCTTTTACTTGTATTGAAATATTTTTACATTGTGGTATTGGTTCTTCTTTTTTAAGAAAAGGATCTGAATACCTCTTCCAAAGGTTTTTCAGTAAATGGAATTAAAGTTTGATGAGTGTAATTGATTGACATATTTTATTTCGAACAAGTAAAATAAATAATTACAAAACAAATGTTGCAGTGCATAGTCCTGTAAGAGAAATCAAAACAAAAAATGTCATTTACAACAACAACAACAAAAGCATTAGCAACATAAACAGTCCCACAACTAGTGTTCGAAAAGGAGTGAGAAGAAGTATCATTTATTTAATCTCACCCCCTTGTCCCTAAATGATTTATTTATAATCTATAAATAGTAATAGAATGGGAAGTGAAACACATGTTGTATCAAGGTCAATAATAGAAGCAGACTTGTCAGATCTCTGTGCAGCCTGTCTCATCATCTAAAAGCCTTTCAATTGTAGTTCTGTTGATAATTTTTTTATCAAATAATAATTATGGGCCATAGGGAGCTCAAGTAAATTCTACCGTCCATGTGTTCATTAAACTTAATTCAACTCTATTGAGAAAACTCTTTATAGCAAAAAATAAAAGCAAAGTCTCAGACTTAATTACCTGGTTCCCTTCATGAATCAAGTGATTGTACTGTTTGATCACTTTTTATTCAGTCAGGGATAAATACGCTTTTCACTTTTATATCTTTCAAAATTAACGATGAAAAGATATTTGAGAAAGTGCTCTTACCATAAAGCAGCAATATGCCTGTAGCTTCTTAAGCTACAAAGTCAAGAGTGTTATTTGCCCTGTGTGTGTGTGTGTGTTATTGTATTTGTGTGTGTGTGTGTGTGTGTGTGTGTGTGTGTGTGTGTGTGTGTGTGTGTGTGTGTGTGTGTGTGTGTGTGTGTGTGTGTGTGTGTTGATCCATAGCAGAGTTATGCAGCAATACATTACATATAGTACAATTACCAAAACCTGATTACAAAATGTGGCAAATATAATTAATTACAGAAACAATAAGGAAAACAAATTCATTACGTTTTAGATAATAGGAAAATCAGAGCTCATACGAACATTGAATCTTTTTTTAAAAGAGAAGGTATTTAGATCATAAAATGCAAGTGAAATACTGAATCAGAATCAGAATACCTTTATTCGTCCCACAGAGGGGAAATGTACATCGTTACAGCAAATAAAGAGTCAAAGATAGCCTAATATGAATTAAGAAGCCTGCATAGAAATATTAAAGATAGAGTAGAAATTACAATTATGACTTTGAAGTCGGTCAATTAAAATATGATTGACTGCTTGCCCTATGGATTTTGATTTAGTTTTTTTGCTTGCACTGCCCCCACCTTATAATGGTGCAGGTAGTTTATTTAATGAGCTATGTTTTCATAAAACCCCCAGACACATGGAGATGACACTTGAGCGTCTCCTGCAGACCCAGGCAGCAATGGAGGAGCTAGCAGTCGCCCTGGAGCAGGCGGAGGGGGTGCGGGCCGCCTGGGAACCCGTCGGAGACCTCTTCATCGACTCTCTGCAGGACCACATCGACGCCACCAAGGTAGACCGGAAAATAGCCTGCTCTCTATTACTCTTTATCTCACTCAAGCAGACTTATGCATGCTGGCACACTACCATAAATCCCTGATATAAATTGCTAAAAATGCACATCATAAACAAACATCAAAACAGTCACATCATGAACAACACATGAATAAGTGAGTGTATCAGGCTGCGTTGCCCTAAAATGTTAGTTTTTTTGCCTGTGTACACGTCAGAGGAGCTTTCATATGACAGATGATGACACAAAGTGGCACTTCATACTGACACGCTGAGCTGGCAGAGGTTACAACGCCCCAGTTGGATGGATGTTGTTACACAAATGGCAGGTCGTTGGTTCTGTCATTATGGAGTGCCGAGCTGACGCTGCTGCCCGTAATTGCGTGGCGCTATTCATTAGCAGCACTTCACAATAATCATGTCACTGTTTGGAGTCCTGTCACAGCCAGCACATGCTCAGCTCACTCTTAAGGGCAGGCTTGTCAGTTGTCCTCAACTCTACTCCCTCATTCACATTTACACACATACAAACACACACACATGGATATATGCACATTATGAACACATGGATAATCACGTATAGGGCTGCCACTAAGGCTTATTTTTTCGAAAGTTCTACAATGTGATTTATAAATGTTAGAAAATAGAAACTGCCTCCTAAAATGTGACATTTGAATGTTTTGAACAGTTCAAAACCCAAAATGTGAACGTAGTGAAAATGAAATTGAGAGCAAAAAACACTTTAATTGGAGGAATGTTATGCTTATTTCTGCAAGGAAAAAAACATATTTTAGCTCTACACTCACAGTGTGACACATTGAAGCAAGCAGGCGCACTTGCTCCTAGAATACCACGATTAGGGTAATGCATTTCTCACACCTCTGCTTGTCATTTGTGTTGCCTTTACTTGCTAATTACTGTCAGCACTCAGCATACATGCAGATGTCAGGCCTATCATTACAAATAGTGATTTAAGTGAATTTATACACACTGTGAATAATGAATGAATGAATGAATCTTTTTGCTCAAACTGCGGGTTACTATCAATTAGGCAAGGCAGTTTATTTATATAGCACTTTTCGACACAAGGCAATTCAAAGTTCAAAGACATTAAGAGCATGAAACACTTTAGAAACATTAAAAAGCAAAGATAATAAAACATGAATAATACAGGTACATGAATAAAAGTTACAGTGCAGTGTAAGATTTTACAGGAAACTATTTCCGCCAAATTGGTTTTTTAACATTAGCTTAAAACATTTGTATGTCATTCAAGTTATACTCTTAGGAAGACATTTAGGGGAAGTCTTTAAACTCAAGGTGGTCCTAGTTTTTACCTTGCAGTTTGCTAGTTGTGAATGCATCATAGTACCTTTACTCACATCATTCATACATCAGAATCAGAATCCCTTTATCCGTCCCACAGAGGGGAAATGTACATTACATCAGTTCTGAAAAAATAAATAGAATAGCTATTCATATCATGAAGAGCCATTTCTTTAGATGCAAGCTGACTATAAGTTGGTGTGGGTCTGTATTTTTTATCAGTGGAAACTTTTTTACACAGAAAATAAAAAAAAGAGTCTACAAAAAACAAGTTTGGCCAAGGTGCAAAGGAAGGTTTTGCCCCTTTATAGCTTTAGCTATAAGCCTCTCTCACTGGCCTTTCACACACTTTGCGTGAACACAGACACTTTCATACACATCACCTCCATGCCAAACTTCTAAAAACTACGATGTTTGGGACCGACAGAGTAACCTACAGAGCCGCTGGTGGCTTCTTTAAACAGACACACACATCATACAGTTCAGTCATAAGGATTCAGTGGACTGATCATGGTATGAACCAGGGCTGCTCAATTCATCGTATTTTAATCACGATTACGATTATGGCTTGCAACGATTACGAAAACAACATAATCGAAATAAAACTATAATTTTTGTATTATTATTTTTACTTTTTTTTGGTTTTTCAGTTGAATTATACTTTAAGTTAAGGGTAATCAACTGTTAAAAACATACTGTTCACATTTTTTTCTCCAATAAATGGATGTTTTCAAAGTCAATGAATAATCGCATTTAATAATCGCAATTACAATTATTGACCCAAATAATCGAGATTATGATTTTTGCCATAATCGAGCAGCCCTAGTATGAACACATAAACCTGTATACTGTTGTTATTGTGCACCGTGAGTTACACACTGTTTACTGTATAAACTCCAGAGTCTCCCTCCTATCTCGCATATAAAGTCTACAACAGAGATTGGTGTTTTTCCAATACCATTATAAATCATTTTCATTTTGATTAAACTTCTTGGTTTCTGCCAAAGTATTTCTAGATAGAACAAAACCGACAGCAATAACAGATTACATTTCAATTGATCTTTGTCTTTTATTCAATTTGGGTGGATTTTGTACAGACTTGATGTTCGGCTGTGTATTATATTGATCCTATATTTGATGTTTTATTCCTTGTGTTTTCCATCCCCCTCTGTTTGTTTGGCCTTCTCTCGTACTCCTGCAGTTATTTAAGGAGGAGCTGACCCAGGTGAAGGAGGGCATGAAGCACATCAATGAGCTTGCCCACCAGCTGGCTCTCTCAGATGTACATTTGTCGATGGATAACGCCCGAGCCCTGGAGCATCTCAACAGCAGATGGAAAGTGCTGCAGGTAGAGTTTACTGCTGGGCCTGTGTTGACTGTTTGACATTGTCAGCAGCAGTTTTTACAGCAATCACATTCAAGGGAGACATTAGAGAGTGATTCCATGTTTAATGTTTGCCCTAATGCAAGATAATGCTTTTTGTGATAACCACACCCTAGTGTCTGTTACATCTCTTTCAATGTTTGTAGGAAAATGGGATGGATAAAGGGACATGTGTGTGTTGTCTATTGGTCAGAATTGTTTAAACATTTAACATGTAAAGTTGTTGCGTAGATGAGGTCTCTGGCAATGGCATGCATCATGAATGGAGAGTTAAAGTGAGAAATACGCAGAATAAAATAAGGATTTCAACTCCAAGTGCCTTGGAATCAGTGAACTGGACTCGCCCTTCCCTCGAGTCTTAGCTGAATGTATGGATGCATTATCCAGTGAGCATTACTGTCAATCTGCAGTGTGCAACTTCCAGACTCATGCTCTATTCTCCTTCAGCAACCCCTGTAGTGCTCCCACAAGCACAAAAGCATCAATTCAAGTGAGAACCCCCTGTTCCCATCAGATAACCCTCATGACACCTTATCCACAGTCAATGGCCTCGTCATTATTTTATAATTGCCACTACGCCTGTCTGGCCTTCTGCCATCTGAACATGATGATTTTAATGTCCCTCCGACAATTCTTAGAAATGATTTTCCACTATCCACTTTGCACACTCACTGCTCCGTGACTCTTAAATTACAGCTTTCGTGTTTCTCATGCGGCCTCGCCACAGCCCAGAGTAAAACAGCTCAAGAGGAGAGCACAACAGAGCAGATCAGTGAAAAATAACTGTTGCTGTGTTTGAAGCAAATAAAGTGAGTAGCTTCAGCCTTTGTTTAAGTGAAACCTATTGGACTGTTTGGAAAAAAAAGTCTTATGTTGGTGCTTACTGAAGGTTTTCTTGAGAGCCTGGTTGAAATATTACAGTATTTAGTTGTTTTTCTTTAAGTAAGTAATGACAAGGATCTTATGCCATGTCCCAAATTCATACTCCATGCTGGTGCATACAATAGAAAGGTTCACTAAAGAAGTTCACTAAAATCCAATGTGCATGCCAAATACAGTTGAGTTGTTTTTAGTACACAATATTCTCCCAAAATGCAGTGAAGTTTAATAAGCAGCAGCAGTCGCAGTTATTGATAATGTCATGTTAGTATCAAATTGTATGTTGTTATGTTTCTTTACTAAATGCCAAAACAGTATACTAAAATGTTATGTTTTAAGTACATGCTGTAAAGAATTATAATACAGTACGGATTTAGCCTGTGTCTTGTTAAAAGGGCAGTCATGTATTGGTTGAAAACGCTCAGGTGCACTTTGTTAAAAAGGTGCTTATCCTAAATCCTGCACTGTCTGACTCTTTCTTTAATGTGTGGGATGGAAAGAGCTTGAATATAAATGGAAGCATCAGTCGGTCTTGTTTTAGTACACAGCAGTAGCATATCTTCCTTCTGCTATAATTGGAACATCTTGAAGTTTGTTCTTTCACGAGGTCACGATGCATAGTGAGGTTTAAACGGTCGTTAAAAGCCTTCAGATGGGCATTAAATTCCAATTACACACTTTCTGGAGCCTGCATGATCACATCCTCTACACATGTCCGCCCCACTCTTATGTTTTTTAGCACAGTATTGTTGCGCTGCAAACAAAGAAGAAAAATTAGGACTTTTGCTCATGGATATCCTTTTGCATTGGAGGTGAAAAAGTCCTCATGAAAAAGTAATTTTACAACAAAGTTTCTGCCAATCTTTGATGTACAGTGCGCTACGGCTGCATGTCCTCTGGTCTTTGATTCAGGAATTGAGACTCCTTTCCCCCCGATGATTGCCACTGTTTGAAAGGCTCTCAGTGTCTATAGTCACCAGCAGATATTCGTCTCCCAGGTATTGGACTGTTATCAAAATGTCTTTGATATAAGGGAATCCCCAGTCACATATGAAGAGACAGGTGTTGCGAATGGTTTTTTGAAATAAAATAAAAATATTTGAGCTTCTTTGCTCACAGTACGGCCAACCTGATATCTGTACTCATCCACTTTAATTCATTTCAGTGCATTAAGATGCATTGACTTGCTATCTTTCACTGTGAAAGCAGAATGGAGGAACGCTTTCCATTTCCCCCCTCTTAGTGTCCTATTTCTCTCTTGATTAAAATGCTAAATGCTAAATACCGATCCGGTGCCATGTTGATTTTGGCTGCTCTGATGCCAGCGAAAAATGTTTTTTCAAATTTGATTAGCAAATATTTGTCGATCATGGATAATACGGTCATTTGTCTTCCCTATGGCAGCCCAAATTGCCTGCACAACAAATAGATTGTACAACCGGCACAATTTGCAGTTACATCTCCACGGCACATTCACAATGCTCTATATTAGTCGCTAGCAATTTAAATCACGTTCTAAAGTATATTGTTATATTTTCTGGTTGAGCGAGAAATGATGTGTGTACACAGTGAAAAATGCAGACTCAATACACCTACCTTTACACATTACGAATCATTGTCTGTGCTTCTCTTTGAAGTCTAAAGGCCCCTCACTGTGTCCTCTTTCTCTTCTTCTCTGTATCTGTCTGTCTACCTCCTTGCGAGTGGATTCATCTCCCATTGTTTGAGAGAGCGTTATAAACATCCAGCTGACAATGATTCCTGTGCCAAATCCAATTCATTTCAAATAAACCAGGATTAGGCAGACTAAATCCCATTTGGTGGGAAACGTACAGTAACTGCTTTTACTAAGGCAAACTTAATTTTGTCAACTCAGTCTCTATGGTTATTGACACAACACATTTGAGGCTTTGCACCCGCTCCTTCTCTCATTCCATCAACTGTTATCTCTTTTCATTGCGAACCAGGCGCCGTTGTCCTCGTTTCAAGAAAAAATATATTATTTGGTAATCTTTGTCTTCACTTCCTACCTGCCGCTCTTCAAAGGCTTTCAAAGGCCTTCAAGAGGGGCACTTGAGGAAAAAGACATCATTTATATTCTGTAGTTAACTAATGGAGGAGAAACAGGTGGTCTGCGTGCGTGCATTTCTTTCTTTTGGGGATTTGTAGCGAAGGGGGATGAACAGCAGGTTTCCCTTTGATTTAACTCTGCTTGTGTGTGTGTGTGTGTGTGTGTGTGTGTGTGTGTGTGTGTGTTTGTGTGTGTGTGTTTGTGTGTGTGTCCTCAGGCTTCCATAGAGGAGCGGCTGAAGCAGCTCCAGGAAGCACAT